GAATCCATGCAGGCACACTCGCTCCTGAAGAACAGTGGAAGCCTAGTGTAGATCTACATTTAAGGCACTGGTATGAAACTGAATTTGAATTCTCAATTTGATATTGTCAGAGGACCCATTAGGAATTTTTTTTTTAGGGGAACTTTTAGGAAGAATGAAGAAGCCCTCAAGTTTGCCTTGCACAAGCTTTTGTTCTGCGTGTGCGTGCAGAGTCTTTGAATCTTTTTTCCTTCATTTTGTTTGAATTCAATGTTTATAAAAGTCAAAAAAGGGGAAAATATTTTTTGTTTACTTTTGGAGGGTATAAACTTTCTAGTTTATTTTCTGTTTTAAACCAACAAAACAAAGTAACAGCTTAGAACGAAGTAACAGCTGTTAAAAATTTTTCTGTTCTTATCAAGCTGCAGTGAAAGAGTAGGCTTTCTCCAGTGTCCAAGAGACTATTAGCCAAATCACAATTTTTCCCCCATCAAACTACATACGAAAAAGGGAATTACTTAGTGTTTTTATCTGCTTTTGTGTCCATATCCCAGTGTTGACGTTTTTTCCCCCATTCTTCAATATATTGAAGGACGTTTCCATGAATAAAAACTTATTATCATGAAGGAGAACCAAGTACATTGGACCTGCAGAGAACTACATGCCTCATCACTTTTGCAGGGACTGTCAAGTTGATGTCATGAGTAAGATTGGAAAGGCAGCCAACCCCGATGGGATTCCAGCTTGTGCCATCAAGGAACCGTATCATTACCGGTGAAAATCATCTTCGAGAATAGCATTTTGCGTGGTGAAGTGCCGAAGGATTGGAAAGTAGCGAGCTTCGTGCAGATCTTTAAGACGGGAGATAAGAGGATTCCGGGAAATTACAGCCTATTGAGTCTCACGAGCATCCCTGAAAGGTCACGGAAAGCATTTGGAGAGACCGCATCTTAGAATTCTTGAAGGAAACTCCGGAAACATCAGCACGGCTGTAGAAGGGGGCAAAATTGCCTTACCTATTTGCTCGAATTCTATGATTGGGTGAAGGGCGAGATTGACGAAACGAATCCCATGGACATCGTTTACCTAGACTTTGCAAAGGCTTTTGATGCCGTTCCTCACAGGAGGTTGCAGGGTAAACTGGGAGGCACACGCGATTCGAGGTATCCACAGGCTATGTAAACATTCAACCATTCAAAATGCTGTCCGTCTATGAAACACTGTTCTAAATGAGGATAACTCAACATGTATTCTATGGAGGGTGACAGCAATTATTTGGATAGAGTGGTCCTGTTTGGAAGCTTTTACGTCATCTGGATTCCGTGGCATGAGCTGACGTATCAGAAATTTCAAGTACTGAGAGTGCTTCAGTTGGCAACTAGCTTGACCCCAGTGACAGGGGATCTGGGTTCAATGTATTTCCCTGACATATTCGGAAACTCAGTTTCGGAGAGTACAGAGCACGCCTGTCTGTAGATGTGGGACGTTGAAAAGAACCTTAGCAGCGGAGGCCAAACCCGGGCAGTATATCCATGGACTTGCACCAAATTGAGTCTCTCAAGGTTGCTTAAAATTTTGAAAGGGGGAGGGGAGGAGGTAGTGGTTTCGTCGACGATGACGTAAGCGCTCATCTCTTGTGAAACTTGTCAGTTCTGTGGACACGTTCCCATCTGTGATTTAAATGGTTTAATGATATCCTTGAAATGGCTGTTGTGTGAAATCGTGAAAGGGGATTATTTTCAGTGATGATGGGAGTGGGCGCTGTGCAGTGGCGGCTCGTGGGTAATAAAATTGGGTAGGCAGCAGTGGTGCAAAAAAAAGAGGGGGGGGGGTGCGACCACCCCCAATGATTCCTTTGCACCCATATGATCTCCATTTCTATCCATATTGACCAATGGAGCGTCCTCTTATGATAGTATCAGGCACATTCGCTCCTCTCTCAATCTCGCTCAGCATCCCCACCCACCACTCTCCAGTCTCTTCTGAGGGTCACCCCACCCCTTGACTACAGGCTTGACAGAAGTTTAGGATTTTTGCATTAAAAAATTGTCGATCCAATTCTAACATAATCAGAACTATCCATCAAGGAAATTACTTGCATTTAAAAGGAAACGTTACGAAGATTTAAACCTTCAATGAATGCAATTATATATTTGGAAGACACTCCAGGGATGCGAAGTACTGTCAGTCTAACAACACATATCACTTGGAAACAGTCCCTCTTCCAGAGAGAGCAACGAATGCAGGGTAGGAATAGGGAACTGAGACTGACAGAAGCCTGTTAAGAATGATTCCTTATTCAGTCTGCATAATACTGTAGAATAGGTCTGATCAGGTGTGACAACCACAGAGGCTTCTACAAGCACGTGCTTCTGAGCAGAGGGCGTGAGCAAGCGATTCTCAAGCTTCCTTCCTGCGCAAGGAGTAACTGCGCACCGTAGGCAAGCCTACCCTCACTCATTCCAGTGTTGTGGTTCTCTTCCCTTTCTCCCTCTTCTCGTCCCTGCATTGGACTCGTGGGAATTTGAGTCTAGCCAGCCTAGGTAGGCAGGGCCATGGCTATTCTGGATGCATAATTTCGTTTTGCTTTTACCTCGCAATGGAAAAAAAGTATTTCCAGCTGTGCTTATCGAAGAATTAATTAGCAAATATTAATTTGAGAACTCTGATTTTAAATTGGGTAGGCACTGCTTACCCTGACGAGCCGCCACTGGCGCTGTGTCCTGCATCTGGTGACGGTTGCTGACGAGAGGGGAGTAAAAAATTGTTTCATGTTCTGCCGATGGAATATTGAACGATTCCCGTTTCCCTTGAAAACTATCGTATTGATTCAGATAAAGTAGGGGGGAAGTAAGCCATTGATTCTGACTGGATTTTCAGCATAGGCTTACAAGGCCTTCCAGCTGTGAACGACAAGGTGGAGTCTAGCTCTGTCGACAATTTTTTCATTCTTACTTAGGCAAGAAGACCCTGGGTTTTGGAAATTTTTTTATTTTTCTATGGAACTTTTTTTTTCTAATCTACGAGCGATCCATTTAGTAATTTCATTACAAGACGTTTGGCAAAAATTTTATGAGGCAGAATAGACCGTGTCTCATTCAGTTTATTATAGAAGTAAATGGTAGGTCGTTCACATCTGACCGCTTTCCCAGAGTTGGGTCCACTGACAAGCATTGCGGAAGCCTGAAGCAGGGCCGGATTAAGGGAGGGGGGGGGGGCAAAGGGGGCAGTTGCCCCGGGCCCCACTCTTCCAGGGGGCCCACGAAGGAAATTAAAAACGTTGAGTACAAAAAAGTATTGTATTTGCGTAAAGTAGCGGGGGGGGGGGGCAGGAATTCACTTGCCCCGAGCCTCGCAACTTCTTAATCCGGCCCTGGCTTGAAGCAATATTTTTCGAGACGGATCGGATGACCAGCAGCTCATTCCAGTCGTGATTCGGTCCAGTGTGCGCCATCTCTGGGCACTCCCTCTCCCCCCCACTTGTGTACTGTCTCAGAATCAGATTACGATCCGTCTGAGGAATGTTGGAGTCTCCAGGAGACTCCAACATTCATTAACAACATTAACTGTCTCGTAATCAACCTGCTAGAAATTTACGATTGGGTAACGGGCGCAATGGATAAAGGGAATCCTGTCGACATCGTATATCTAGACTTCGCTAAAGTTTATTATACCGTTTCTCACGAGGTTACAGCTATATTGGAAGTGCATAGGATTCAAAGTTGGGCGAGAGAGAGTACTTTGTTATTAATGTTTCATGTTTCACACGTATGTTCATCATCTTCATTCTTCTCCCTTTCTCTACCTGTCTTCTCCCCCGATCAAGATGATGAGTGCTCAAACAATTCTTCCCTCTAAACCCTATACTGTAGGGCAGGGGTCGGGAACCTTTTTAGCCATGTGAGCCATATTAAGATAGAGCTAAGTGCTTGTGAGTGAAAGATTTTCAGAACATTTTTAAATTATTACTGAAGTTGGAAACAGGCGTACGCATTCATTGATACACGAGAAAAATGAAGAGCAACATGATTTTCAGCCATGACTCAATGAACCAAACTTTTCGGTTAGTGAGCCAAATTTGGTTCATGAGCCATAGGTTCCCGACCCCTGCTGTAGGGTGAAGGATTGGATTTAGCAAGAAATTACGTCATCCCCAATATGGTTCCTCCCTCTTGCGCCGCGGTGAGCACGTGTTTCCACTGCCGAATCACGTATTTGCCACTCATGTCCTGTGGGGATGAGGGGAGTGAGGAGGATGGAAGCTGGAGGGCTATACGTTTGGCCATGGCACTATGTATGCGTGAAACAGACTAGATCTTTCTGTTGGAGCAGTCGAACCCATCTTGACTTTGAGTGCATGTTAGGTGCAGGTGAAAGCCACGCGGAGAGTCCGGATTAGCATCCCACTGACCATCTTGGCCTAATCCGACGGTTTCGTGGTTAAACATTAATGCGCTGCGCAGTGCGTTGTTCATATCTCCTTAGCGGTAAAACCACAGGGCTACAACCAGGTCCTTGACCTTCAAGGCTAACTGGTTTCTAGGAGCTCCTACAGATTCATTTCAAGCTAGTAAAGATGTGAGTAGGCCTAGGCTATTCTTATGACATCCCCCCATTACTCAGGCCTATGTAGGTTAAAAAGTTTGCCATGATTAGGCTTATGGTAAGTGTTTTTTTCTTCAAGAGATACATTTATTCTTTTTTTTTTTTACCAGAACATGTGAATAAATGCACATTCCTTCAGAAATTTTGATGGTTATGCTATCCAAGCCAATCAGTGTTAAGCAGGATAGCCAAGTCTCACATTTGTGATTTTGTCAGATGTGTGCCATTCTACTATTTTAAGTGACCATCTGTGCAAAAAGATTGGGATATGAGAGGTCTATACAGGGCTTATCTTCCATCCAGTCTTCAAAACACTTCCACTGGCTCCCTTGTCTCATACACCAGAACAAAAATATCTCATTCAGTAGTGCTTGATACATTTTATCCCAATTCCTGTAAGCGTTATTTGGATTGGTTTTCCAGTTTAAGTGCTTCATTTAATCAAGGACTTCATCAGAGTCCATGCCAAGACTTCATTGGTGTGAGATTCTGTCATTCATTTGTTGGGGATTCTGCTTCAACCAGCTGTGTCTGCGCCCCACAGGAATTTCAGTCAGGAACGTGCAACTATATGCAGGAGCCAATTAGGCATTGTAGAACAAGTGTTCCTTGCTTAAACCTTTCCAGTGGGCGGACTTTGTTGAGAATGAGAGATTTTGAATTAATAACTAGTAGTAAGTCATCCAATAAGTGGTACCAAGTTGACCCAGGCCTTAGAGTATATTCACAACCTGCTGAGTCTTCAAGCAAGAAAGACACTGATGGGTCTGAGAGTCATGAAATGCCCTTGTGTGACCCAGAAACAAAGTGGAAAGTACCTCAACATATGTGCCAGAGAAGCCATCATTACCAGCAAGTTCAGGCAGATGAAGCTGAAGAAAAAGTTGACAGCTATCAGGTGAAGAGCATGCTTCCTGTTGTTGACTTATCTTTGTGTTCATGTTACAGTATTTTTAATTCACATTATTTGGTTGTATGTTATTTCATGTAAATATTATGTGATCAAGAGACAATATATAGGGTTTCCCAAAAGGTATGGAAACATTTCAAAAATTGTTATCTCTCTAATTTATGCCTCAAATAAAATGATTAAAACAGTAAAATGAAGTGCAACTCAAACATTTTTCAACCTGTTATTGCAATTCCACATGGGCACCATTTGTGATCCTGTAGATGTCTAAGCGATGTTCAAGCTCTTACCACCCCTTTTGCAGTGTTAGGCATAACTATCAGGACAGCTTGGACAATTCTGTTCTTTGGATCCTGATCAATTGTCTACTTTTCTCCAGTAAGCGATGTCTTTGACATAGCCCACAAGAAAAAGTCCTCTAGGGTTAGTTCAGGTGATCTTGGTGGCCATGGAATGAACCAGCTCTGTCCAATCCACAGATCTGTTTTCTTTTCCATGCCTTAGCTTGCTAAAATGTGGAGTTGCAACATCTTAGAAAATTATACTTTTATTGTGCCTGAACCCATCCCTCTTAATTTTTCACTTATTATGTGGCTATGTCAATGACATTGTCAACTTTTCTTGAGTAAGCAATCTTCAATCTGATCTGAAGAACAGAATTGATACAGCTATCCAGACAGTTATACATGACACTCTGCATAAGTTGTGGTAAGAGCTTGAACATCATGTGGACATCTACAGAGCCACAAATAGTGCCCATGTGGAATTGCAATAACAGGTTGAAAAGGTTTTAGTTGCACTTCATTTTAATGTTTTCATAATTTTATTTGAGGCATAATTTAGTGAGATATTAATTTTTTAATATGTTTCCATACCTTTTGGGACACCTTGTATTATTAGGTTGAGGAAAAAGTTTGTGCGCCGTGTTAAAATAATGATTTTTTATGCAAGAATTTATTCAAAAAGAACAACAACTATTCTTCAAAATAAAGACCATCATTGTCCACGACCTTCTGCCAACGATCTGCAAGCTTTCAGATTTGGTCAAAGTACCACTCCTTCGGCTTTGAATCGAAAAATTCTTGACATGCTTCTTCAACTTCATCGAATGACTCAAATCGGCGACCTTTCATAAAGTGCTGCATTGATCGGAAGAGACTGTAGTCAGATGGAGCAACGTCTGGACTATAGGCTGGATGTGGCAGAACTTCGACACCGTCCAATTCTTCAAACTTGTTGCTGGTCTTTCTGGCGGTATGCGGCTTTGCATTGNTTTTCACTTATTATGTGGCTATGTCAATGACATTGTCAACTTTTCTTGAGTAAGCAATCTTCAATCTGATCTGAAGAACAGAATTGATACAGCTATCCAGACAGTTATACATGACACTCTGCATAAGGTGTGGTAAGAGCTTGAACATCATGTGGACATCTACAGAGCCACAAATAGTGCCCATGTGGAATTGCAATAACAGGTTGAAAATGTTTTAGTTGCACTTCATTTTACTGTTTTCATAATTTTATTTGAGGCATAATTTAGTGAGATATTAATTTTTTATATGTTTCCATACCTTTTGGGACACCTTGTATTATTTTGGAGAGTAAATCGCACTTACTCTGCTGGGTGGTTGTTCAGGAACTTATCTTTGACTTTATCTTTCTATAATTCCCATGGGAAAAAATAGGTCAAGGATGTATGCTACCTTTTCCAGCAAACTTTAACAGACTTCATTTTACTCTAACTTCTTTTTTAAATGTTCATACTTGCCCAACTCTGGCAGCTTTCATTATGCCTGTAGAATTTTAGATTTTCATGCAAAAGATACAGTCCAAACAAAAGGCATTCCTTGTCTGGATTTTTAATAAGATTTTTGATAGTGTGGAATGGGACTTATGATTGGGTAGACCCCTGATACTGTCAAAAATAATGCTATTAATTTTTATCCCACAGGAAGCAGTCAGGTGTCTTAATTCGCTCCAGTCTAATGCATCTGTCTTGCGGAACATTAAAGAAACCAAAGATTCCAGAGCCCAAGAGAACATTCCTGAAGTGGAGAAACACCTGCTGGCATTAGGGATTTCCCCTGATGATTTGGATAGGTTGAATGTGATCCATGTCTCAGGAACAAAGGGGAAAGGATCCACATGTGCCTTTGTTGAATCCATCCTTCAAAAACATGACATCAGCACAGGATTTTATTCTTCTCCCCATCTGGTGGCTGCTAGAGAACGGATCAGGATCAATGGAGAGCCACTCTCTGAAGCTCAGTTCACTTCTTACTTCTGGCAAGTATATCACCAAATCAGAGATGCTCAGGTTAGCAGTTGACTGTTTTGGTCAGTGGAAACCTGGTCAACAGGGCACTACTTGCATTCTCTGCTCATGAAATATTTGATCTCACTCTAGGGAGATGGTGCTGTAATGCCTCCATACTTCAGGTTCCTGACATTGATGGCCTTTTATGTCTTTCTTGAAGAAAAAGTAGATGTTGCCATATTAGAAGTTGGAATTGGTGGGCAGTATGATTGCACAAATGTTGTCAGGTAAAATCTTAATTGAATATCCTTTGTGAAGGAAGATGCTTTTGCTTGATGGATCATTAATGAATGATCCATCCTTTCTCTCTTTTCAAGGAACCCAGTTGTGGTTGGGATCACATCTCTTGACCTGGATCATATGCATATTCTTGGACATTCAATTGAGCAGATTGCATGGCATAAAGCTGGGATCATGAAGGTAGGAAGGCCTGCATTCTCTGTGCCACAGTCTCCTGGTGCCATGAATGTAATCAGAGGAAGAGCAAAAGAAATTGGGGTGAGTGTGGAGTGAGCCTCAAAGATGGGCTCAAGCCAGATTGGCTTCAAAGTATGTTCAGTGATGTGGTTTTTCCTCCAACAGAGTCATCTTTATGAGGTCGACATGATGAAAGTGGAGGACTGGAGCAGGAGAGGCATACCTCTTGGTCTCAATGGGGAAGTACAAGCAGTGAATGCATCTCTTGCCCTTCAACTTGCTCGCATCTGGCTCCAGGTGCATCCTTCTCACTGTAAGACATTACTCATTCAGGAACGTTACTCTGGCTCTCATGTCATTCTCACACTTGTACAGCTAGAAAGAAAAAGACTTAAATATTTCCCAAGCAGATTTAAAATTCAGTCTTGCAAGCAATTTCCTAAAAGTTGAACACGCATAACTAAGTCTTGGTTGGTAGTCTTTTTGCTGCTTGGATTGGATATGTCTTAGTCAGCAGTCAAATAATTTATATGAGGGCCCCCCCAAAAGTTTCTGGGTTCAATGCCATAAATTGATGTTAGGGCAAAGTGCTTCCTGGTTCAGAATCATCATTCATGACTTTAAAACATAATCCCCGGACAGAATGATGCACTTTTTCATGCACCCAAACCACTTATCAAAACACTCTCTGAAACGCTTGGTTTCAGTGGACACCAGGACCCCTTCCATGCTTTTCTTCAGCTGCTCCTCCCCATGAAACTTAATCCCACACAGATCCAGCTTCATTTCAATGAACAGCTAAAAGCCACAAGTGCAAAGTTTGGTGAATATGGCAGATGTGGCAGATCTTTCATTTTCCATTTCTCCAACTCAAATGCAGTCACCTTCACCTTGTGAGCTGGGGCGTTGTTGTGATGCAACATTATCCCCTTCAGGCTGCACTACTTCCGCTTCTCTTTTTGGACATTAAACACTGCTGGTAGGTAAACTTTTGTGTACCACTTGGCAGTCACAGTTTGCCCATTTCCCAGTGGTACTACATTCACAAAGCCAATTTTGACGGGGAAAAATGGTATGACCTTGAATCCAGACCTGACACTGCCGTTTTTTTTGGAGGAGGTTGCCCTTTTGGAAGCCAAACAGATGAGTGCTGCTTTGTCTTGGGGTCATTATGGTAGACCCAAGTCTCATTACCTATGATGATCCTATATACATCAGGAGAGTGCCCCTTGTTGAATCTTTGAAGCATGAACTGGCAGAACTCCATGCTGGCCTCTTTTTCATGCTCCTTCAATAGATGAGGGACCCAATGGGCAGACACTCATCTCCACAGAAGTTTTTCATGCAAGATAGTTTGTATGGCTGAGTTCCCAATCCCTAGGGCCATGTGCATTTTTTAATAGATGATTTATGGATTGTCCTTCAGCATCTCTTTGACGGCAGCAACAGTTGTTTCATCAGTGGCAGCTGCAGAGTGCCCATCACAATTGGTGTCCTTCAGCCCAAAATGACCTGTCTTAAAATTTCGAAACCAGGTATTTACAGTCTTCTGACATGGGGCATCATTGCCCCAGGCAGAAATAAGGTGGTCATGGCATTCCTTAGCTGTGAGACCACACTTTGAATCGTATAAAATCATGGTGTGAAAATCTTTATGGCTCAGTCCAGGTTGCACCAAGGAGTTAGGTCTCTCTTGTCTTAGCTCATGACTAGACATTTTCACAAAACCTCTAAAAATTTGGCATGCCATACCCTGGAACTATAAAGAACCAAATGGCATATGGTCATTGGAAAGCAGTTATTCCAAGTCACAGACCCCAGAAACTTTTGGGGGGGCCCTCGTATCTACAGGTTTTTGGCAATCGAATAAAAAATAGTACTTGAGTGAGATTATTATCAAGGATTAGACCAGGTAGAAGGAATATGCAAGAAAACTTAACTTAGTGGCTTTGTTGCTGTATTACAGAATGCATAGCAGTGACTCTTTCAGGTTATGAAGCAAATGATAGCAAGAGACCGGCATGTCATAATGAAGTGAAGCATGCAGGAGGAGTTTCTGCCTTTCAGGTAGGGAAAGCCGCATCTCACTTCCAGAGGAGCCACCACCAATCTTCCCAGTCTCAGATAGGGAAATTCATGGACTGAGTGAAACTGTGTGGCCAGGAAGGTGCCAAGTATTCAAGAGAGGCAGGGTCATCTATTGCTTGGATGGGGCTCATACTTGTTCCAGCATGAGTGCTTGTGTCAAGTGGTTCTCAGGCATTCTGGACTCTGTCATCAGGTGAAAACATGGATGTTTTGTTATAGGCAATTTAATTAGGTAGCATTATGTAATTGAATGAAGAAAACCCTCTGTGACCTCCCTCTGACATAGAGGCATGGTGTCAATCAAAAACAAATTACATTGTGAAATAGCTCCATGCACTCAGATGGGGAGAGGGGGGAGGGACTATATCCCATCAGAAATGAGAGGGAGTGGAGAAACATTCATGAAGCATGCTACTAGCTTTTTATTCCATTCCACTTAAGTCTCCTTTGTTTCCACCACTTTTAATTCATGATTTAATGCTTCTTGTTGCCTTACCTTTACAACTTTTCATATGGAAATTATGTATCCATATATGAGCCCAGAGCTACACATTTTCTAAATTTCATTCAATAATTTTCCTTAGTTTTAGAGAATGTGCAGAACAATGACATCTGCAAAAGAACAGACTTGAAATTAGGAAAGTGGTAGGTCTGGTATGGCAAATGAGTTTCTTTGGAAACATTTAGTGATTGAATCAAATAACTCATCACCAAGCTCCTTGCAGTCTCCATTAATTTTTAGAACATGTGCATACATTCACAGAGATGAAACCATTTTTCCCTCTATCTTAGATGAAGCATAGGGTGAAACAGATGGTAGAATGGCACCAATTGATTACAGAGGCAAAGATGTCATGCAACCCAGGTGAATGGAAGCTGTCACAGCCATGAACATCTCCCAACCCTGAAAATACTTTCTGGCTACCACCTGTGTAAAAATCATGGCCATGGCAGTGTTTTGGGTAATTGCAGCATGAGGGATCTCTTCATTTTCAGAGACCATGGCATGATGCAAGTAGAAAAAGTGCTTCTCTTCCACTGCACTGGTGATCGAGATGCTGAACTACTCTTGAAGCCTTTAGTTGACTGTCAGTTTGACAGAGTTGTTTTCTCTACGACCATACTTCATTGTGATCTCTCCAACACCTCAGGTATGATTGTACCACTATTGTCAGTGTCCCTGTCATAGGTGCAGACTCTATAAATCTTACAAAGAATGCCAACAGCCACCATGTCACTCTCCAAGTGCATGAATCAGCCTTGAATGGAAAGTAAAAACATATTGCCAGATTGCTTGAAGAGGTCGTGGGAGTTAGGGTTAGATTATTGACCAATCAATTAAATACTTGCTAATATACTTATCAAATGACCAATCAACATGATTATAGTCAGTGTTTGTCAGTTACTCATATTTGTGATTTTATCTTCATCCTTTATGATCATTTTTGATCATAAAAGGATGAAGATAAAATTAAGGATAAGAATTAAAATTAAGGTTGTGGAATCTTTTTTTTAGATTCCACAACCATAACCCTTGAATTAAACTTAAACAGAATAGAGGCTATCACTGGGATCATGAACCAGAGTTCAGATCCTCATCTGTCATTTCATGGAGTTTGTGCCTGTGATACAAGGACAATGACACCTTGTCTAAATTGCAGTGTACAGCTTTTTTGGACTGACCTCTTTCAACTTCTTGTTATATTCTCTTCCTAAAATTGAAGGAAGGAAGAATATATTTTGAACTTTTTTAAACATCGTGAGTGACTAACAATGGGTTTAATGACACTTTTTGCAGATAATGCAAATCTGATGGTGACAAGGAAGGAACCACATGAAAGGTGCCACAGACATCGCAAGGTTTGGCAGTCCCTGGTTGGTGCTAAAGACAAAGAGGTATCCATATACCCATGTTTGCAAGAGGCATTGTACAGTATAGTCTGTGACCAGGACCCTCACTTCTTTTCTCAAACATCTCAGGGCTCTTTTGTTGAAGATTCTCAAGCTGCCTCCAATCCTGAAGGTCCTGTTATCATTGTACTTGTAACAGGATCACTTCATCTTGTTGGTGGAGTTCTTGCACACATTGATCCTTCCTTAACATCATTGAGAAAACTGCCACATGAGTGCTAGTGATGTGTCCTGAAAGCAGTTTTGATATGGCTTTGAAAAAAGCAAGTAGAATAAAAGTTATATTTTAAAGTTTCTAACCTATGTTCAACTTCAGCATCCTTAGTTTTCTTGGATAGTTGGAGTGCTATAATGGTCCATAGCAATCTGAGGCTTTCTGAATGGAAGGCTCTATGGGCAAAAGTGGATTGTATCTGATATTGTATGTCATTGTACAAGGGAGGCAGTTTGATCCAACTTTTTTTAACCTTGAACAAAGTCAGGGACTTATCTGTCTACTTCATGCTTGCTTTACTGCCCTTAGTTGTCTCTTGCCTTTTGCATTTTTTGCTGCTATTTGTTATGATATGTGATATGTGTCACAGTTTCCCTTTCTGGTTCTATATTTATCTCCAGGGCTGCCCAGAGGGGGGGAGGGGGGCGGCAATTGGGGCAATCTGCCCCGGCCCCTCCTATCAAGGGGGGCCTCCAAAGGGCCTCAAGGGGGACCCCCAAGGGGTTTTGCCCCAGGCCCCTGGAAACCTCTGGGTGGCCCTGTTTATCTCATGTTTTAAGCACATAGTGGACAGCATTTTTGCCATTTCAAATTCATTTCAGCTTCTGTTCTAAACATTCCATTTAACAGTGGCTGTCTTTAGAGCAGAATCGTCAAACACTGTCTTCAGGCAACAAATAACTTACTACTTGGGAAGTTCTTTTTCAGAGAAGGCAAGGATTCGCTGATGGGTAAAAACATCTATCATAGTGCCGAAACATTAAAAGGAACAGGAACAGATAGTGTCTCAAATTTCATGCCATCATGAAGGGGCTCCCTTCAAAGAGAAATGCCGTGAACAATGCATTACACTATTTTGTAAGTCCATACATAGGGCAGCTGCTTTCAACTTGGCAATTACGCTGAAGCATTGCATCCTAGTTGGTTCTGAAATTGGGCTTTAATAGCAGCAACACTTGCACGAAGTTTTTCCTTCCAACAAAAAAATTGTTTAGCCTTCCAAGCGACAAACGTTGCAGTTACGACGTTAATACAGGCTACTCAACTGGCAGCATCGCAATTGCGACGTTATTGCAGCCTCTTCTTACATATTAGATGAAAAATAGACTAATGCACATTATTGTATTGCATTCTCCGTTTTATCAGCTGTCATTTGGTATGTAATATGTTCAGGTGGCAAAACATGTGTAAACAAACTTTTTTTTTAAAGAAATGCTGCAATTTCCTCCATAGCTGCCTGCCATTTATAGTAAAAATGGCTGCTGCTTGTAGGATTAAAAACCAAACAATTTATTAGCAGTGGGCCTGATTCGCATTAAGAGGTGAACAGCCCAGCTAACTGTAACTTCCTGGCAGTAACATCTCTGTATTTCCTTGCGCAATCCTCGCATTCCAAGTGACCCTTAAACACTTACTGCTCCTGAACTTTGAGCCTATCCGAGTATCCCCCAACGAGCCCTTTGAACAGTTCCGCCCTGCTGGAAGCAGTGACACCTTCTACATGTTGCTTATTTCAAACGCTACCACTACCGTCCATCATTAGTGGCTGTTCCGCTGCGAATAACATCATAGATTACCAATCCATTCGAATCATGAAAACACAATCAAAATACTTAAAAGAGCAAAAAGAGATTCGGATGACAGGAATGGGAACCACTCGTACGACTGAACCTGAAGGATAAATTTCGCTGTATTTGACAACGAGATATACAGTATTCCCCAATGAAATCCAACTATCAGTGCGAATCGGGTCGGCGATGCACGGTGAGCCGATACTCGGGGGGGCAGGCGGAAGAGGAAGGAGACTGGGAGATCTTCCAAGTCCACGGGTGCCGCGATCTTCAGTGTGAAATGCTGCAAAATACTCGTCGTCACGAGGAATATGGTCATCTTTGCCAGGCTCTCCCCAATGCATGCTCGCTTCCCTGGTACAAACAACGTCGAATCTGTTCTGAACTGGCCTTTAAGCAGTGGCGGCTCGTCAGAGTAGGCAGTGCCTACCTAATTTAAAATCAGAGTTCTCAAATTAATATTTGCTAATTAATTCTTCGATTAGCACAGCTGGAAATACTTTTTTCCCCATTGTGGGGTAAAAGCAAAACGAGATTATGCATCCAGAATAGGCACGGCGCTGCCTGCCTACGCTGGCTAGGCTCGAATTCCCACGAGTCCAATGCAGGAACGAGAAGAGGGAGAAAGGGAAGAGAACCACAACACATGAGTGAGGATAGGCTTGCCTACGGTGCGCAGTTACTCCTTGCGCAGGAAGGAAGCTTGAGAATCGCTTGCCCACGCCCTCTGCGCAGAAGCACGTGCTTGTAGAAGCCTCTGTGGTTGTCACACCTGATCAGACCTATTCTACAGTATTATGCAGACTGAATAAGGAATCATTCCGAACAGGCTTCTGTCAGTCTCAGTTCCCTATTCCTACCCCGCATTCGTTGCTCTCTCTGGAAGAGGGACTGTTTCCAAGTGATATGTGTTGTTAGACTGACAGTACTTCGCATCCCTGGAGTGTCTTCCAATGATATATAGTTGCATTCATTGAAGGGATCTTTTCGTCACTTTTCCTTTTAGATGCAAGTAATTTCCTTGATGGATAGTTCTGATTATGTTAGAATTGAATTTACAATGTTTAAATGCAAAAATCCTAAACCAGGCCTGTAGCCAAGGGGTGGGGTGACCCTTAGAAGGGACTGGAGAGTGGTGGGTGGGGGGTGGGGAGGGGATGCTGAGCGAGGTTGAGAGGCGCGAATGTGCCTGCTACTATCATAGGACACTCCATTGGTCAATAGGGATAGAAATGGGGATCATATGGATGCAATGGAATCATTGGGGGCGACCACCCCCCCCCCCCCCAATTTTTTTTTGCACCACTGCTGCCAAGTATCCATAATATCCATGGGTGAAAATCCATTCCACCCATATAGATCCTGGTCACTCATAGACCACAAGCCCCTGTTATGTCTGAACCCAATTGATGCCTGAAGACTTAGAACAGCTGCTTTTTTTTTGCACCACTGCTGCCTACCCAATTTTTTTTACCCACGAGCCGCCACTGCCTTTAAGAATAAGAGTAAACGCCTTTTTTTTCAAACGATGTCAAATGAACGAATCTGTGCCTGCTTGCTAAGCTGGAGTCTGGTTGTGCGCGGAGAAAGAAATCAAGTCTCACTCCGTTTCCTGACACTTGTTGAGACTCTCGCTTTATTTGACATGGCACGGAGAAAAAGCTGTTTCTCAGGTTCTTAAAAGCTAATCATTTAAACTTTCGTAAAACCACCAACACGTGTTAGATGTGACAGCCTGTATATTTTCTCCCGATAAGTAGTATGGTGTTCCGTCCACAGCCGCGTATAGTCGTAACTTTTTTTTAGTCACACGGTATTTACCTATAATAACTGAAACTTGACTTTCAACAAAGTTTTGAAGTCTCAGAAGAAACAAAATTTATGAAGATGGAATTGAGCATTTCCCCCCTTTAACTCTTGATTTGTACCTCCACGTGTGCTGTAAAGCGAATCGCTCTGTAAACATTGTGAACTTGGGGAGAAATATAAGTAAGGGTTCAACTTACTTCTTCACCTGATATATGTTGATTTACATGGATAGGTTTACCTCAGTTTCGCTTTTCTGTTCTAGTAAGCTGCTTCTTTTTTTTCTTTTTTTTACAGAGAGCATTTTTTATGCTTTGCCCGCAATTCCTGGAATTACGGGAAAGCGTAGAATATGATGCCTCATGTTTCTACGTTTAGGAAGATTATTACCCCTTATGTATGCCAACCCATTATAGATTGGAAATGTATGGATCGCATCATACCGATGGAGAAAGGTATGAATCCATCTCTCTTCACAAATTTCCCTTCCTCGTCCAAGAATCTTTCGGGTCTGAATTTGTCCGGTTCCAGCCAGTACTTGGGAGTCTCGATGGATGGCGTAAATGTTCGCCAGCACCACCGTCCCCTGGACACCCCAAACCTCATCACGTTAATGTCTCAAAGAGAAAGAGCGAGACACGAGATGTGGTTATTTTATCAATGACCTTGGGGATGCGGAAGCCGCTGAGCTGGGCATCAGTTGTAGCGCAATGATCCAAACCCAGTGGTGCAACCGAGGCAATTCGGGCAACCTCGTGCAGCACTGCCTCGGTGTAGGGCAACCTAGGAAAAAACGAAACGCTATAACCGAATGATCCACTTCCGACTAGCAACGATTCTCTCGCAGCAGGTGCTCTCACATTCCCCGATCTTCATAAGAGGGCAACCGATCCGTCCCGATCTTCTCGACGATTTCATCTTGCATCTTCTTCTGGATGTCTGCGTAGAGGATGAGAAAGAGGAATACCCAGCGAATGGACGAAGACGTAGTCTCTCCCCCAGCTGAGAATAGATCCCCCACGATGGCCATCAGCTGCATTTCTATCTATACATGGATATCAGGAGAAGAAAAAAGTTGAAACAGAGCATCGGATAACCTTAAGCGTTTCGGTGGACCGTACACGCCGTGAAGAGACCGTAAAAGGAACCAGCTTCTCCCAGTCCTTCCAGTCTTTTCATCTCGTCGAGGTAGACGTCGATGAAGTCCCTCGGCTGCCCGGGAACATGGCTCTCTTTGTGCTCATCCAAGATCTCCTACTACACACAGGAAATTCAGTGCCTCAGTTCGATGCATTTTTCTCACGAAAAAAATCTGTCCTGCATGTGATGCGTCTTTATCGCATCGAATTTTGGATGCGGCTATTGCATCAAATGTTGGATGCGATAAAAACGCATCACATGGAGGACAAATTTTTTCTCGACGAAAATGCATTAATTTGATTCTGCGTGTATAGATCAGGTATATTATTCACTTCTGCCGCATTGAACGTTTCGTGATGAACTTCAGCCACATCGACATTTGCCTTGCATGTCCTATTGTGGGAATATAGTGGCTTTTGAGCATAAAGCCGGAATACACGAACCTCATTCAGGGGAGAGTTGCCCCGAAAATCGCTTCCTCGAGAAAAAGAGGGTATCCTTAGGTACATAACTTAAAGAACTGTTAAATATCTATAGATAACAGTCGGATCTCATATTGGCGATACGTGTCGCACCACCAACGCACCAAACGGAATCCAAACATCGTATGAAACTGGACTCGAAGAATGAAGAAGCGGTTACATGGGAATCCCTTCGAGACGCACGAGCCACTCGCACGGGTCGGAGGGAAGGTGAAGTGGCGATGAGGCCAAGCAGGCGGTTGTGTGTGAATCCCTCGGCTGTCAATGCATTGCCCCGAGGGTTCATGGGGAGAGAGGGAGGGGGGAGGGGCTTTCTCGGCACGATGAAGTGGAATACGGAGGTTAACATGTGTCTAGACCAGGGCTTCCCAACCTTTTTCACGCGCGACCCCATAAATCATAATCATACCATTCAGGACCCCAAGAACTGGCCAAAGTTCGACAGACTCCCCCCACCTATGCACTAAAATCGCAAAGAAAAACATAAGTTTATTTTTAATTGCCTGTTCGCGATCCCAAATGGGGTCGCGACCCTGGGTTGGGAAGCACTGGTCTAGACGCGCAGCCACTCAAAACACCCGACTACGGCTATAGACGCATTTTGGTTTTGCGAACGCCTTTCAGGCGACCCTGCACGGTCGGGAAGCGAGAGATATAAATCGAAAATCCAATTGATGTCTTTTTCTCTCGAGAAAAATAAATCGAAACGCAAAAATTGAGAGAAGTATTTCATCTCGATTTACCGATTTCTCTGAGTGCACCGAACTTCTTGCTCGTCACGAAGCCGAGGGAGACATTTTTCTCAGTCGTATCGTCACGGGTGATGAAGTGTGGGTTCATCACTATGACCCTGAGACGAAACGCCAATCCATGGAATGGCACCACAAAAACTCACCCGCCAAAAAGAAGTTCAAAGTGCAGAAGTCAACTGGCAAGGTCATGGCGACCGTATTCTGGGGCATCGAAGGCGCCATCTTTGTGGATTTTATGGAGAAGGGTACCACTATAAACTCCCAGCAGTACAGTGACACTTTGAAAAAGCTCCACGTGCGTATGAAGAAGGCACGACCCAACAAAGACATGGGTGATGTCCTGATCCAGCACGACAACGCACGTCCGCACACCAGTCGGTCCACATGTGTGACTATCGCTTCTCTTGGATGGTCAGTTTTGCCCCATCCACCATACAGCCCGGACCTGGCACCGTCCGACTATCACCTCTTCGAACCAATGAAGGACAGCCTCAGAGGACATCGCTTTGAGAATGATGAGGATGTGAAGAATGCAGTTCGGTGGCTTCGTCACCAGGACAAGAATTTCTATCGTGATGGAATTCATGCTCTTGTAAAACGGTGGGAAAAGTGTATTGCCCATAATGGTGTCTGTCAAAAAATAGGTGGTTCATTGCAAAGCCCTGACGGACATTACCTGTTAATTTCATGCATTTATCTTCAATACAGAGTGAGAAAAAAATAATTGTGCATTACTTTCCGAGCGACCCTCATGATCTATTTGCTAAGTGCTTTGCTCGTTGGAATTCTATCACGATGACGTGCTGTATGCAGTTCTTTCCCGTTACATTCCCCTTTATTTTTTGCATTTGCATCGTATTTGGTGGCTATTGAAGATGTCACGTACTCGAATTGATTTGGAAAGGGGGGGGGGGGAAATACACTGCTGGAAAGTATTTTTTCAAGCTGCAAAGGGGGATTGAAAATTATTTTCCTCTGCTTTTTTCTTCAACGTTTTCAACGTTGTTCCTCGCTCTTTTCTCCCGCCTTGATATTAAATGCTACGCTGAAGAACAATCGCGGTAATCTCAAAACGTACTTTTTGCCTCTCATTCTGGGACCGGAAGATACAAAATGAAAATACAACATGGAACAATAAGATACAGCATGGATTCAGTAAGCTGGCGCCATTTAACCCTTACAGTACTTCCATCAATCAAAAAATTACCTTTGGATGAGCCGGAATAACACTTCGTTAAAAAAAAAACAGTAACATATAATTTGTAATAATTTAATTTCTTAGCATACCATATGAAGAATCTCTTGATACAAAAATTCCCGTCAAATTCAAATGCACTTCCCTTAATGTTAATTTGAGTGTATTCAGCACCATTTCAATATATTTGAACTGAACTTTACAGTTCTTACAGCTCTGTGAGGCACCTCACAGACGAATCACTTTAAACCACACCATGTGACTTATAAAACTACGAAAATATTTCATCAAACGAAACAAGCGAAACCAACCGAGCCTCGACACGATGCAACTCGTCCGATCACAGCTGAACTCCCTTCCACCCTCGGGCAGGCCCCTGCACGTTCCAGCCGTCCATCCAGAGGGGGAATGTGGTGTTGGGCGTTCGCGCTTTTCCTCGTCTCTGGTTTCTTCACGGTCGTCTCGGAAACGAGGAATCATCGCACCTTTACCGCGGGGGAGCTGGCGGGTGAGTTGCCGCACAACTCCGTAGAGAGTTTTCAACTGATGACAGGAAACTCTTAATGGAGAGGAATGCAATGCCTACGTTTATTTAACGAAAGAAATATGTCGTATTTTAAATGGAGATAATTTGGCATTATAAAATGTATTTTACTTTAATAATTGTAACTGGAAATCCTCAATAGTTTTCATGTATTCACTCGAGAATGAATATTACATGTGTAAATAACTTATTTTGGAATTATTGACAGTATTGCAGGCAGAAGGAATTCTGGACAACATTGAACAATACAACTTCGAAAGTGGGCAGGACGTCAAGCTCTTCTGCACTCTGACTGACGCTGGGTTAACCGAGGGACTCGCTACCTCTGATCTCAGATTCGAGACATCGTCTGATGACGTCGTAAAACCTGACTCCACGTTGAACGAAACAACGGTGTCCTTAATCGTTGCTAATGCTTCGGCGGAAGATTCCGGCCGATACTATTGTGGGAACGTTTCCGGAGAAGAAAACTTGACCATGCTTGATAATGTATACTTGAAGATCGGCTGTAAGATGCATTTCCCTTTGACGGTTTCTTACGCTGTGGCAGTCAATGAGGTAATATTATTGGGATAGTTCCACCGCAGGAGCTGAAATACTGGCGTTGTTGGTCGAAGGAGTTGGAGTTATTCTATTGCAATTGGACAAAACCAGAGAATCCCGTTCAGACGGATTACTTTTTCTACATCCAGACCGATGGGTACTCGCATTCCCCGTGATCAAATCCCCATTATTGATTTCTGAATGTAATGATCCTAACGAAATTGATTCAACGAAAGGACGACGATGACAGAATGCCGGCAGAAGAACTCAAACGTAGAGGAATGCGAGGCGCTGAAAGGCCAGACTCCTGCTTATTCTCCGAGTAAGACAGAAATGAACATCACAGTGGATGCCCAGAATTTGCTCGGAAACCGAACCTTCACTTATCCCTTCGATCACTACCGGAACAGTGAGTCTGGATCCTTCTCCAATTCGTGAGTCATATTTACTTGATCAAGTGAAGAGTCATCCCAACTCAAATGGTAGAAAATGATGCAGGATGTGCCAAAAAGGCCACTGTAACACCGTTCAGTACGTAGGACACATTAATGGCGTGTAAATTGTTCAATCACCAATGTTAGTCATCATTGTCTGGTAAAACATCATCGTCACCCTCAGCATCAACGTGATGCACAATCACGTGTTCAATGTATGAATTTGGCTTGATGTTGTAGGCACACCTCCATGTGAAGAACCATGGGCAATGGCCCGTAACATGTCTTCAATCACATTACTGATAACTGCAATGACGTTAAGACGCAAATCACCTCTGGGTTGAACATTTATCCTCTAGAAAAGCATGAAAAGAGTAAGAAGGAAGACCGAGAATTTAATTCATTTCAGTTACCTTCTGTAAGCCTTTTACCTAAGCCTTTTGAAAAAATTAAAATCATGTCAATCAATCAAATCATTAAAATCTGCCGGAAAATGGAATCAAATTGAATCGAAGGCTATCCTAAATGTTCCCAGAAAACCCCTGCGAATTTCATGTGTAGAGCCGAAGGGCGGATTCAATTTTCATGTATCAATTACGACCGTTGATCTTCTTTTGTAAATGCGCCCATGGCACTAAAACGGGTTTCACAAAACAACTATTATTTTCTGAACCACAACTTTGAATTTAGCGAAACTTTAGATTATAAGCACCCACTGTCTACTGTTTATTGTCCTGTAAGGAAATAAAAATAGTTGATAAAAAATTTCTGGGAACTTTTAAGATGGCCCTCGTATATCCACCTCACCCCACATTTTCCTCTTGAAATGAGAGGCATCGGCGCTATTAAAGTAACGGTATTTGGTACCACGGTTCCAACATTTTTCGAGTACCCCACAGTCCTGATAAGCACCATCTCGTCATTGCCAAAGGTACATTTGATGCCATAAACACAGTTAAGATCGAGGAATTGGAGAATGTTGCCGTGCAGACAGTGGATGCGAAGACCCTGAACGTCACCTGGGATCTCCCGGCTAACTTGAAGCACTTCAATGTCTCCATCATCCACAGCATACGCTGGGCAGCCCAGCTCCCGGCTGAGGAGAGCCAACCCGTTAATGTATGTCAACTCGATCTTATCTCTGATCCGAAAGTGACGTAATAGGGGGATGAACTAGTCGATGCTTTCTTTGCTAAAATTGACAAGTTTCGAAGCAATGCACTGGACACACCATTCAATCTATCCTTCATCACCCTGCGGTCAGATTTATTACCATATATTCTGTGAAATAGTTCATTGTAAAAAATACGGGGGTACTTTTCCATCCATATGGAATTCCCCATAATCTCGGCAAAGTATTCAGAGCATATAACAGGGAAAGAAAGGATAATATGCTCTCGAGAGGCTCCTGCAGCCAACCATTTATTTCTTAGAATGGGATATTATAAGGAACCATAGCCATAAGCCTTTATATGGGAGGGGTACCCAACAAGTTTTCGGCATAGTCATGATGCGATGATTTCTCAACAATAATTCACTAATCTTGATAAAAGTTCTGTAGTCAAATATGAATTACACGTGGCGACATGCATTTCATTGATAAAAACTTGATTGTCGATGCTCAGAATTATGAAAATCCATGCGAAGCGAACCAAAAGGACATATAACAAATTGTCACTCGGGCATGGAAAAAGCTACATGTCTCTAACTTCTCAGAGGAACAGTTCCTTTGTGACACAGCTAGCCAACACAGTTAGCTAGTTTTTCGAAAACGAATGGTCTAAGGCAGTGGTTCTTAACCTTTTTTTGACTGCGATCCGGTCGCGGGGCTAGCTCGGCGACCCATGCCCTCATACAGTTCACTTGTGATAAATGATATGTGAAAGTTTGGACAGTCACTAGAGACCCTTGACGACCCACTCAAAATGGCTTGGCGACCCAATTTTGGGTCGCGACCCAGGGGTTAAGAACCACTGGTCTAAGGTAGTCAGATCGAGAGTTTATTCGGCACCCCGCGTACTTCATAGGATCGAAAAAGCCCTCAGAAAAAAAATTGTCATCTAGGAGGCGAATTACACGATCCCAGGAAAGTCTAAGAAAGGGTCCTGGAACTATACACTGACTGGCCTTATACCGAACACCGTATATGATGTTTGGATGAGGGCCATTGTCGCGGAAGCAGCTCACCTTGATCTCTGGTCCATTTCTACCGATGCCGAAAACAAAACCCTGCCGAAAGGTACGAAGTCCTTCTTCACCTCATCGTGTTTCCCCTCTGCCCGTCTTCCATCGATTTAGAGCCACATTGTTCATCTGACTCTTTCACGCGTCGATCCGGCAGAGCCGGACAGGAGTCCAGATGCGCCGCTTGGGAGTTTCCACGTCGAGCTGATTGATGACAGCCTCAGGAATATCTACCTTTACTGGATCCCGCTGAAAGACTGGGAGCATAACTCCGACAACTTTACTTACCAGGTGAGAAAGTTTCTAAGAAAAATGAATGGGGCTTATTTTAGTATCAGGAATATATGGAAAACGAAGTCGGTCGTTCGGGCCAAAGAATGGGACAAAAGGAAAAAAAAAATTGGTTTGCTGTTTTCCAGCTTCCCTTGAGAACTACCCTCTTACATGTTAAAGCGCCATTTCCTTCCCTTCGAAGAAAAAAAAACAATTTCCTTTACATGGAAGCGATGGGATACGTTTAAATGAAGATCTCTTTCCGTGTGCTGCAGGTAGAAGGGATAGAAAATTCAACACAAAAGGTGGTCCGGCCAACATCTGTGATGGACTCGTCCGCCGTCTTCATGAATCTAAGCACTGAGTTGGACTACAAATTTCACATCGTTTCCAAAAATGAAATGGGAACATCTCAGTCGCCGTCCGTCATCGAAGTTTGCAAGGAAATGGACCGTGAGAATCGCGAAGGATTCGATCTTCAAAGTGTCACTATTATTATTAAATGAGCACCTAGTAACCAGAAATGTTAAAAACCCGATGAAAATAGGAATCCCTTGCCCGAAGATCCTGAGAGAGGACGCAACGAATGACAAGAAGTACGTGCTGGAATGGAGGGCACTCGAAGAGGAGAAGACGAGGAATATCACCGTGTTTTGGTGTCCTTCCTATCCTCCCTGGCCCGACTGTGATTCGAGCATCAGCTGGACTGTTGTTCCCAAGTCCAATACCACTTTCGAGCTGGAGTCAACCGAATCCCTCAAGTTCGCTGTGTCGGCCAACGGAGAATTCGCGCAGAGTGGAATGGGCTGGAAGGGGTTCGAATCTTCTCAAGAACCAGGTGAAACTTTTTCGCACTGTGCAACCTTGAGATGAAAAGAAGATTTTAAATGAAATTGAAACGGTGAAATTCGAAATGTGGATTTTCAAAGATTTGATTGCGGTAAGTCAAATACGCAAAGTTACAAGCAAGAGCTTCCGTTGTCAGTGTCTAAGAGTCGAAGTAGGGACGAGCAAGTCTACCGAACCAAATCAATTCCTCCACCTCAGATCCATCTCATCTGTAAGCTCCCCCTTGTACACCGCTTGTACCCACATGAACCCATTCAGAGAGAGTGACTGGCAACACAACATTCCACACATTTCGTAGTGAATTTCCATGAGGAGTATTTATATTAAAAAATACATTCGCATTGAAACCCATTAGATAGGCATAACTAAATATAAACAGGTGCATGCTCACTTTAAAAATTCATTCTGAATGAAAATCATACGGAGAACGACTCGGATTGCGACTCCAATTGATTTCACTTCGCCGTCTTTACTGATTGACAATTACCACAGTTTACTGCTTAACAACACGAGTTGTTGTCGAGCAAGACTTGCATGCTCAAGACAATGTTTTGTATGCTCTTCCTTGCAAACGAAGAGCCGAATGACATTATGCTTAATTGCATGCATGTAAATGGTACGAGTAGACAGTATTATTTGTCATAAATGTTAAAATGAAGAAACAAAACGCGAAATGGCCATTCCATTTCATCGTCTAAGCCACCTGAAGGCTTACTTTCCCATTGTGGAAGCAAGAGTTGCAAGAGTTTAAAAAATCTGGAGTGAATGACAAGAAATATTCGTCTACAATGGGGGCATTTTAAGTACCTCACATATGAATTCGAAGCAAGTACCTTTAAAAGTTTTCATTTTTCAAACACTAAGGGCTCATGAAGCTCTTGCTTCTGCTACTACAGTAGCACGTAACATCGAATCAAGATTGATTGGATACTGATTCAACGTCCGGATGTTTAATCAACATCCAATCAATGTTGATTCAGTGTTATGTGGTACTGGGGTACGGGAAAAATGGCCATTCATTGTTTAAATTCGAATTAAAAAAAAAACTCGAATTCATGAGAGTATGCCAGAATTTGCCAACTTTAAAAATGAAAGATTGCCATCATTCACAAAAGGCGAGAGATAAACTCAGGGATTCATCATGAGGGCAAAAAGTCACCCTTTCCTCTCATCCTTTCCTTCAATCGAAATACAGGATCGAGCCTGATAATTCGACGGTTGTGCGACTCGGTGCGTCGAAAGAAATGGAAATTTCTATGTAGCAGTCATCGCTTTTCAGATTCACCAATCCGTCTGTTTTGTGCATTTATATTTTCAGAACTTGAGATCCCGCCTGTAAATTCAACGCTCGGCAAACTGGAAGATTCGAAATATTACCTGTTCGAAGTTTTCCTATTTTTGTTGATGGGCTTTCATAGACTTCAAGTATTAGGATTTTTTCGACACTTCGTTTGGAAAATTACTCCAGTGGAGAGAAGCTTGGAATTTACATTACATGCAATGGTATGAAAAAACGTGGACAGTCCTGTGCAGCTTCCACCAACATATACGAAGTCTCCACTGATATTCCGAATGTTCCGAACAAAATTTTCCCTTACAGGGCAGGACTCCCTTGTGTTAATTCTGGTGATCACTGCAGTTATTGCTGTGGTCCTGGTCGCATCAGCTGTACTGGGGGGCAAGAGGTCAAATTTCCAGCTATTTCTTCAACGTATTAGTTAGCAGGGTTCTGCCTAGTTTTCATTCGGAACGTTTCCTTTGTCATTTTTTTTCCAGGTTGTGGAAGCGCTTCCGTAAGATGGGCGATGTCGAAGTAACGCTGCCTCCGGCATTCACTAAAGGAGACATTAATCTGAATGTATGTCACGTTCAAATACTCAAGTAGACATTTTTTATAACACCAATAGAAATAGCTTCTCTCTGCCCCCCTTTCCCTCTCTCTCTTGATCAGGAGACAGGGGAACAACCAATGCAAGCTTCTCTGGACGAAATTGAGAACTTTAACGTTAACCAGGCCATCGCTGTGAGTCACTCCTTTTGCATGCATTGGAAGCAGGACAAGAAAATATCGTTATTAGATATCTATGCCTTCAGCCTCTTTCCCATGAAATGTCCTTCCCACATTCACAAGCAGGCTCTTCAAGAGATTAGACAATATCATGAGGATGATGGGAATGTTGCTGGGGCCAAATCCAGAAGGAGTGATCTACAATTGTATTACTTTCCCTGTGCAAGAGCATTTTAAAATAATTTATTATCCCTTTCCGTCCGAACCAGGCAAACTCACTGCCAGACTTGAAGAGAGATGTGTCATCTACTACGAATTACATGGTCCCGTTGCACAGAAGAGGGAGCATAGAAACAGAAACCATCCCAGACCCTGAAGACCCCTCAATGCCGACTTTCATTCGAAGCTCAAATCCTGCAACCATCGTAGAGACATCATTGGAGTACATCCAAGTTGGAATGCAGGAAGTGGTACAGTAATATATTCACCAAATCAGGAGTTTGGATCTACCTTCGTGATTAAAATGATAATGTGAAAATAATGAACATTTCCTTGCAGGAACCTGTGCCCGGCACGGAAGGCTCCACTCCTGGCAGCCCCACAATCAGGACACCAAGCCTGGTTGACGCATACGAGCAGTTACAAGAGCCCTTAGAAGATCCCGGATATTCGATCGTCCGAGAAGGGTACACGTGCCTCGCACCCAGTGAAGGAGATATCAAGTACATCCGTGTTGACATGGAGGATGAAGATAAAGCACATGACGAAGAACTTGATGACAACAGGAGTTTCGAAATGGATTACGATGAGTCCCCCGTTGATAATGGGGATCCCATGAAAAGCCTGGGTATTGTGGACAGGGAGACACAAGAGAAAGTGCCGACCCCTAGATACATTCACGTGAGTGTGATGTCCGACCATGGTGGAGGGCCAATATGTATCGGGATGAACGATGAACTGGAGATGAGTCCCCTAGATAGGGGCCAGGAAGATGAAGGGGAATCTCTGCAAGCTGCTGTATCTTGTGAAAATACTTATGTGGAAGCAGGAGCTATGTCGTAACGCTAAGCACGAGAAATTTAAATGAAGGTGAAGCAGAATTTATCAATGTCACTATGGCTTCCTTGTAAGAACTAGCTAGCATGAGTCGCCGACATGAAACTCAGACAGGCTTCTGACGTCTCGTCATTGTACAAGAATGGTGTAAAAATAGAATGTTATGTGCTTTCTGCATTCCGCATAGAATTGAAGGATGAAAGGAGAACCAGGAAATGTACAAAGTACAAATGTAATCACATTTCATTGTATTTCATCAATCCCTTCTATTTGATCTAGATCTTCCCGTATTTTTCTCAATTTCTCATCTGAAGTAGAGACTGTCATTTCGATAATGACTGAAATGAGTAGAAATAATCTACAAAAGATTAACTAATTCATTCAGAGCACGAAACATTATATAAGTCAATCATATGACGAAAAGAGTACAACTTAAAGCAATGGAAGCAGTGATAATATCCCGGACTTCCTCATTCAACCATGTTCTGTTCGACTTACTCAACCATTGATTCATTTTCCTTGGCCTCCATCACCTTATTTAAAAAATAATCGCAAGAAAGATAAGTAGGTAAAACGCAATTTTTGGATGAATTTTTGGTTATCTGACTTCCATAAGAAAAAAAAATAAAAACTTATATTTTTGTATACCAAGCAATATGAAACTCATAGGTGCCGTCAAGTTATAATCAAACTGGATTTTACTTAAATGAGATGCATATCCATATGGAATTCAGTTCAAATTTATTCACTTTGATTTGTAGAATAAAAGGGAGAAAAATTATTTTGTTTAATTTTTTAATTTTTTCCCTCTTTCCTCGTACGAGATTCCCTGTTAAAAATTCAGAACCTCCACATGACTATCATTCGCGCATCTTAATAAAGCATATAGAGAAGAGAAATTTAAGTCTGGATCTGAGATATCCAATACTCAAAATGTATAATATCGACATAAGTCTCAACTTGAAGCAGTGCTCCATGATATTGATCAGGCCTAAAATTCAGTAAAATGAGATAGCATTTCGGCCTGGAACGACACAACTATGCAAATTATGCAAAATGAGTGCACTGATATTTACTATTATAAACAGTAATTAATATGTATAAAAGCCCTAAATGATGCCATCGTAGGGTGGTAGTGACCCCCTGACATGTTTTTGAGAAGCTGTTGGCATGGAATACAAAGAACTTAAAGAAGTCAACACCGAGCAGTTTGAACACCCTGCATGACATTACAGTGTAAAGTCATATGTCAGTAGTGCATATGACTTCACACCATGGATGTTCAATTAGGATGTGGGAAGGTCCACTCACATGACGTCCTGGAAGTCCGGAGAACCACAAAAAGAAGTTCAAAAGCGAAAGAGATAAGCGAGAGTTGACAATCACTCGAAAGATTTCGTAATCGATTTTTTTAACCGCGACAAGAACGTGTTACCGGCTGTTCAAGTTCTAGATGTCCGAAGGATTGTTTTGGCTTTGCGTTTCAGATCTCGATCGGGGGCGAGTATCTTCCACGGATCTCGACACAGATGGAATACAAACAGTTTCAAATTTGAGAACAATTTCGATTCAGAGACTCGCGACCCTTGTGCAACAGTGTAAACCCACAGGTCTCCAGGTATCGAAATTTCATGGGCTTTTCACCGTATTTCATGACAGCAATTAAATTTACTAGAGTTCGGAACCTCAAGGCTTTCAATTAAGCTTAGGCAGAAGATAAGGAGACATCCCTTCCCGATCCCGTCGCCGATTCGCGAGTGGTGGCGTTCGGCTTCGCGTCGAGGGCGTTCCGCAGGGCTTCGTCATCGACTGTCGATGGACGTCCTGAGCGTGGTCGATCTCCGAAGGTCGTGTCTTTCACACATTTCTTCATCTCAGATGTCCGAGTTTTACGGTATCTTCAATATATCAAGCAAAATATTACTCAACTGCAAGCCTCCTAGAAAAGTGTTGGCGCGTGAATACTGTTACGGAGGGGACGGTGAAGATGGAAAGGACTTGGAAGGCATTAGAGGCCGAAAGAGAGCCAGGAAACGGCCGTGACTTGAACCCGGGCCTCCTGATTGCCGGTCAGTTGTGCCATCACTACACCATCGAACCCGGAGGCATTCAGTCGTGCCTCCCTATGCCATCCTCATCCGTTACAATACATATGACTATAGTTAAATTCACCGCGGTCAGGGAGACAAATTACATTACCTACATGCTTCAAGGCTAAAAACAGTTTACATACGTCTCGTATTCCCGGCATGTAATCCGTAAGTGCCATTTGTATTTTTCTGACAGAACGCACCGTAGTTCCCCAGGAAACTATGAAATGTTGGATGTGCCACTTATGGTATCACAGATGGTAGATATCTAGGTCTGTATCGACGCATCGACAACCACCGTTTTTGGCCACCGGCATTGCCTCATCAGTGTCATCGGCAGATTTGCAAGCTGCCAATGATCATATGCAGGACTTGACCTGGACGAGAGTGAAATATTATTAACTAGCCGACCCGTGGAAGACTTCCACGAACTCTTCATCTAGAAATCGAGTTCATTCGGCGGCCCTAAAACTGAGTGGCCCTCTCATCGCTATAGGCAGCAGCCCCTCTTTCCCATTCTTTACGCGTCCCCACGTATAACCCTTGGAGTCCCCTTTCATCCTCCATCCGCCATAACATTTATCGCCACTTATCCCTATTGATTACAACCCTGTCCGCTTCCTCCGTAAAGACCATCACCATGCGTGCAAACCTATGAGTGAAATATACGGATATGGATAAGGGATGGTAAACGACCAAACCGACGTCATCCTTGCCATCCAAGAATAAGCCATCCTGTTCAGTCCCACCCTGATGGGATCCCGCCGTTTTCACCCGCAGGAGTTACTCTCCTTGTGAGAATTCCGATCAATAAAAGGACGGGGTTCTGATTGATAAAGGGGTCGAGATCCCGATAAATGTATGATGAGATCTCATCCCGACGAGGAAGTCATCCTTCCTTGGGGGATAAAACACGTGTATACGCGGGGACGATTTACGCGTCCTTCCTTGCTGAGAAGTCCGTCTCGGATCCCCGGGTCCGCATCGGGAGTATGAGTAGAATGCATCTCTTCCGTTGTAATGTTATGGATAACGTGGAAAAAAAACAAAACAATTTTTTCATATTTGGTTTGGTGGTGTAGAGGAAACGTAGTTGTCTGCCGAATGGAAGGCCCTGGGATCGATTTCCGGCAGCTCCATTGTTTTTTCTTCGTCATGCCATTTGAACTCTTCTTCCTCACCCCCGCTGGCTATTACGTTCTCGAGAATGGATCCTCCAGCCGCAATGGCCGGAGGGAAGGTGCTCGCTCGAGAGAGCGAGACAGACACCAGGAGCCGTGCAGATGAAGGCGTCGTGCATGCACGCAGCACCACGGACATACAGACGCCAAAGCAAAAAGTATATGTAGATTCCTTAATAGTAATCTTAAGAAAGAATTAATAGAACAGCAGCACACGCCAAAGGGGGGTTTGAGCCTCCCCGTAAGAGAGCAGGAAAATATGTTAAGGCCATTCCTGCCTCACCAAAATACTTGTCCAGTCTCTTCTTTCATACACCTTGAATATGGTTATATAACATAATGTCGAATGCCACAATATTTCAATTTTATGTCGACTAGCAAAAGCATCGAATGCCAGTGTCGAATGGACAATAGTCGAATGGGTATAATGTTGATAATTACAATACCTAAGGCGTCAAAACGTGGAAAAACCTAGAATCTTCAAGAGGTCGAAATCCGTTTATTCTTTTCCGTTCCTTGGGTCCTCATATACTAGGTAATCAAGAATAGGAGATAACTTCTTTCTCCTCTGCTCCCTTGAGGCAGCGAAGACTGCTTCGTCAACAATCTGAATCAGTAAGCTTTGGCGGGGTTTATTTATTACAGTAATAAGGGCACTTCCACACGAATGTGTTGCCCTGCCCGTGCCGTTGTGACCATGAAAGACGAACTGATAAAGGAACCTCCGGAAGTGCATGATACTCATGCACATAATCGATCCGACATTTAGAAGCGAAAATTCGTCACGGCGGTAAAAGCGGCGAGCAAATGTGAGGCGACCTCCGCCATCATCAGTTCAAAGGTGAGACAACAAGCTCCTTCCTTAGCGCGAAAAAAAAGTTAGGGGAATCAGGATGAGAATATGAACGCGACTGCGAGCTGAAGTGCGTAGAGCTTTATATTTGTTCTCTCGCTTGTCCTCAATTTCATCACTTATATAACGAAGAGTATGCCAAAGAGGTCTTCCAGTCCAGTTTTTGCTATCAGCGCTCGGAAGGGATTCCTGACTCTGTGTAATGAGGCTATTCTATCGAGAGAAATGGTCTTAATTTTCTGCCTTTATACCTTAGATGCCGAATGTGCCAGTTCAAGAGCGACAAACCATGCCCACAACAGTTTCCTTGCAGCGCATGATCCAATGGGGAAAGAAGGAAGAAGCTTCCACCTCTTCCTGAGAAGTTTGCAGAATTCGACTTGCCGCAAGCAAATCTTCTCACGAACTGTGGACGTCAATGACTGGGTTCTCCTCGATCACAGTGATGCCTACAGCATTCTTAAGTCCTGATCTCGTGACAGCATCAGACATCTTGCGAGTGCAGAAAGGTGGTATGGGGATGGGACATTCTTTGTTGCCCCAAGGGTTCAGCAGGATTCGGCCATGCAATTGGGCACGCTGAAGAGAACGGCGCTATTTTCCCTCTTGTGTATGGCTTGTTGAATGCGAAAGATGTGCGGTGTTGCTACATCAAGTTGCGCGGCGTACTTGACGCATTTCAGAGATTCCACTTTGTTCCGAAACTGCAGTTCATCAGTCAGGGCAGTCGACTTGTGTGTTTTCGACCTTTCGACGGGATACGTTTGGATATACCTAGCGGATATTTCTCAAAGTCTTTTATTACCTTTTGTATAGTTCTTCTGTCTCCATTGGAGATCATCATAAGCATTTACTGGGGGTTGCGAAAGTAGATATGAGAAACTTTAAGTTGGGCATATATATTGCATGCCGGAATATCCCATATAATTCATACACCTATGTGATTTCTTTACAACACTCGGTGGTAATTCCACATTCATGCAATTGTGTTTGTAAAAAACTGAGATTTCAATAAAACAAAGTCTCTGGATCAGTTATCATGAGAACAACCTGAGCAATTATAGGTGTCATAACCATTCACATGAGAATCTTGCTCACATGGCCAAATGCATGCATCATAAGAATCCTCGGGGCCGAATTCACATGAGACTCTTGAGATACGTACAACTCTTTGCTTACCAAAAACATCTCACGCAGTTGATCTTTTATGAGCTTTCTTTACAAAGGCTGCTGGAGAGCTGCATTGACAGAATCTACTCGTGAGGAGGAAGGAGGAACGAAGCTGTCATGACAACCGGAAGTGCTGCAATTGTCACCGTGGAACAGGCTTTCGAGGGGGAGATCGGAGACGAGGCAAAGAAGGCGCTAGCAGATGAGCCCGACCTTGGGTTTTGGGGAGGAGTGGAATGGTTTATCGACTGGTTGCGAGAAAAAGTGAAGAACTTCTTCAAAAGGGAGATGGAAAAGCTTTCCGTCGTCCGGAAATGGGCAAACCGGATAGACACCAGCATCGGAGAATTCATGGTCGTCGTCATCGGGAAGGCTTTGCATTTCTTTACGATCGC